AAACATTCGTAAGTATTCTAAATCCTTGTATGGATTTGTTTTACACAGATATTAGTGTTTAACATGTAAAAGATATAACCAATACCTGTATCTTGGCAAACAGGTAATAGATTTTCTGGTTTTATTTTGTTTTTCTGCTACGTTTGGGAGATCAATTACTTACAATAGTTTCAAAGCCTCGAGTACCAAATTATATTGTTTAATTGATGATTGATAGTGTAATACCCCGTATTTTTTTTTTTTTGTATGGATTTTTATTAAATTTTATTTTGTGATTCTGGGGGTAAAGTATAAGAATTTGAAAGTTTTGAGGGAGTATAGTGTAATAGTAGAAAACAAGTGAGGACTAAATTGATATTTTACATACATTTTGATGAACAGTGCCCATTCAAAGAAAAGGAAAACGGAGAAGAAGGAAAACAGAGGAAAAAGAGGGAAGAAAAAGGAGAGAGGAAAGAGAGAAAGAAGAAGAAAAGAAAGAAGGGAGAGAAAGATGAAACCGAGAATAGATAGAGAAATGAGAGAAGAGGGTGGCAGAGGTGGCTAGAAAAGTGGTTGCCGGAGAGCAAAACTCCAGTGACTGGAGAGTGGAGGAAGATCAAGCATACGGGAGGTGAGTAAAGCTTAAAATTTCCCTCCTTGATTCTACGCATGCGTATGATTTGATATTGCCGACCCAAGTGGGTCGAAGGTTTGACTGAGGCAGATATCACTACACATAATTTGATATTGCCGACCCAAGTTGGTCGAAGGCTCAAGCGAGGCAGATATTGTTACATAGAATTTGATATTGTCGACCCAAGTGGGTCGAAGGCCCGAGTGAGACAGATATCGTCACACATGATTTGGTTTGTCAGCTCAGGTGGGTCGAAGGCCCGAGCAAGATAAATATCACTAGAAAGGATATGATTATGCCGACGCGAGTGATATTCGGTCTCACTGGGTCAAAGGCTTGTGGTTTAACCCGCATGATGTTAGATCATGCCGGGTTAGACAAGATTTACCCTTGGCACTAGTTGGGTGAGAGTTTTCACTTGTAATTGAAAGAGATGGTTTGGATATATATATATATATATCATTTATTTAAAATGGAAATTTATAAATGAAAATGTTATCTTTATATAAAATGTTTTTAGAAATGATATTTTTAGAGAAATATGAATATTGATTTGTTTACCATAATAGTTTTTAGAAAGAAATTTTGCAATGAGAGACTTTAACTTTTGTAATGAAAGATGACTTATATTATAAAATGTGTTTATGGAAATGAAATTTTATAAGCATGAATGTTTTATTGTATATTGAAATGTTATATTGCATACTAACCCAATCTCCACTCACTGAGCATTTCTAGCTCCCCCTTCGTTTTTAAATGTTTTTCTTTCCCCCTTACCAGGTCAAGAAGGAGATCATGCAGAGAAGTGAATCCCACTCAAGGTTGGGCTACACAACTTCATTTCATCATATATTCCATAGTTGTGTTTTATTTTCCGTTACTAAGTTTATGTTTCTTCATCATGTATTTATTTCATGTTCTAGATTGTTAAAGATATGAAAAAATCTGATACCATACATTTCATTTTGTAAAAATTTCAGTTGTATTTGTTTATTTGCCAATGATGTTATATTTACTTGTAAGAAAAAAAAATGTTTATAAATATTTTAACTAGAAGAGTTTATGATATTTTAATTCATAAACAGATTTCATAGTTTTTCCACATAGCACGTCTCGATCACCTGAGTCTCATAGGTATGCCCGGAGTCTATTGGATAGGGAGGGTCAGGATGGTCATGTCAATTTACCTGAAGAAAACGATAAAATATGGTCATGTAGAGGAGTTAAACGCAAAAAATTTGTTCCTCTTCTTCTTTTGAACTCTTATGTGTTATTTGAAGCTTTCTAAACCATTTTTAAAACGCAGAGACCTTTCTGTCATGATGTTGGTGGGTGTTATGCCTGAAAAAGTAGGGTTGACGCCGAGTCTTGTCAACATGAGCGGTCAGAGCTTAGGTACGTAGGTTTTACAACCATTCAGAAGAAGTCACGTCACATGCTGACGTAAGCAGCATGCTCCTTTCAGTGCAATGGGTATGCGTCAGATTGGCGAAAGGCTGGGAACGGTCTACGTGTCCAATCCCTGCAAAAGTCGAGGAAATCACTCGAGCAGGTGAGCAATGGGACACAAAGAAGGATTTGGACAATCTGACCCACTCACAGATTCAGTAACCATTACCTTAATTCATCCCACTATAAATAGGGGGCTCCTCTCCCGTTTGTGAGATTAGCTAATTTTTCTCTGAAATAGCTTACTCACTCTCTCTCTCTCTCTCTCTCTCTCTCTCTCTTGTATTCACTTGTATTCTCCAAGCCATAAATCTTATATATTAATACAATATCAGTGGACGTAGGATTCGCTTATTTAAGCATCCGAATCACTTTAAACATTGTTCTTCATCTCTTACTCAATTCAATACCCCCATATACACGCGTGACTTCTGAGTCCGCTCAGCATTTCCTACGTGTGGTTAGTTGGTGTCAAAATTAAGCATCAACAGTAGGAATCAGACCTGATTATTGTTCTCTGTTGTTAAAAGAGTTCACAGCTAGAGGACGTGGCTCCAATTTCAGTCCAGAATATAAAACTTATGCAATAGTATTTTGATGATTGCTGAGCATTGATATTGTGATAAGATGGTGTTAGTGCTAAAAAGATTAATTATTGTAAAATTAAAGAAATTAAAATAGAAAAGCATACATAATTCTGCCACTTCGTTATGAAATTGAACAGGGTTCTTAACAGTGAGTACTATTTATTAGATTGCAAGGTCGGCCCATATACAGCGACATTATTCCATTCCACACTGGAGATGCACAACAGTACTAAACAGCATTTATTTGCAGAAACTTAGATAGGCACGTACAACACACGCAAGCAAGCAGCATAACATTAATTTAGATATTACTAATGGAGGAAGAAACTGGAACAAATATGAGATTATCTGGTTGGAAGAAATGGCAAACATGGGAGCTCCCTGGCTCGATCCCAAGCACACGAAACGACGCGTGATCGCGGCTCCACTTAGAGGTATCCATGTGGCAAACTGCAATAGCTTCCACTCTATCTCCATTGTCACCAACCAGTGAAACTCTGAATACCTTGTTCTCAGTCTCTTGGCTATGGCAGTAAAAAACTGCATAAGGGTAAGGCATGGTGTGACATGCTACCATCTTGGGAGCAAATATCTGGTCGGGGACTTCCAGGATAGTGTAATTTTGGAATTCAGTTGTCGATTTTGTGAGGCGTCTAGTGTTTACAAATTTAAATTCAGTCCCCGAACTGAAAGCACTTCGGGCGAAATCGAGCATGGATTCTAAGGATGTTGGACAGAGTTTAATTTCTCCTTCAATGGGTTGGTTTTCGCATTGCTTGAGTGTATGTTCCATGGCTCTAGCTTGAGTTGAGTCTTTTGAAAAGGAGAAGTGTTTTAGAAGGAAAGCAAGCTCTTCCAGTGAAAATGGAATTGAATCAGCTTCTTCTCTAGGCAACAAATGAGGGAAAACATTTGAAAGCTCATTCACGCGGAAATAGATGGGCATAGTGATCCCTTTTTTGAGATCTTTCATGGTGAAGAACACCATAGATGAAGGATCCATGTGATCCATGTGGGATGACTGATGAGCATGAACATGATGATGGGCATCATGGTTATGGCCTATTAATTCTTCCGACTGCGAGAGTATATCAGCCATCTCCTTGGCACAACTTCTGTAAGCACACTGTGAAACAGTTTACCCATTCTTAGCATAAACTTGGATGAATGATCAGCAATACAATTTCCAATATTTAAAAAAAAAAATTCAAGATTTTGAGTTTCATATCTTAATAACAAGCCAATTCCATACAGTTTGAAGATTAATTACCATAAAAAGAAGAAGACACAGGAAGACGTTCCAAGCTGCAAATCCTGAACCCATCTTCATCCTATTCCTTGCTTTAGTTAACAACTAAATCAGAAAGAGAAGAGATTGTATATCTATGGAACAAAGAACTGAAGTGTTTTATGTAGTCAAGAAAATGTTACCTTCACGCTAATCTTATTCTGTTGCTTGTTATCAAATCAAAGGCCAGCTTTTAATTACTTAATTTGCATGTAGAACATAGAAAACTAGTAAAAAAATTTCTGGTCCTAAGTTCGATTCACCTTGTCTGCTAATAGGGGTGGCTTAGCCACTTGAGCTTTTATCTGGCTGATAATTCCAAAGTCTACTAGAATTAGTGTCAGTGGTTGGTAGTTCTAGGGTCCTACAGGATTAGTGTCGGTATACGCAAGTTGGCTCAGACACCCCGATCATAGAAAAAACAGTGAAAATAATCTAACTCCCTCATCCCTAACCCTCTATGACCAACAAATCCCATTAAATACAAAAATGCCCATATCTGTAATCTCCCAACGTTTAAACAAATACACACACCGTTAAATACAGTATATAATTCTCAGCTACGCTGTATATGAAATTAAACGCAAAAATTTTATTTCTCTTCTTCTCAACTCTTTTGTGTTTTCTTTTTTTGAATTTGAAGCTTTCTAAGCCATTTTCAAAACGCAGAGACCTTTCTGTCATGATGTTGGTGGGTATCAGACCTGATTATTGTTCTCTGTCGTTAAAAGGAGTTCACGGTTAAAGGACATAGCTCCAATTTCAGTCCAGAATATAAAACTCATGCAATAGTATTTTGATGATTGCTGAGCATTGATCTTGTGATAAGATGGTGTTAGTGCTAAGAAGATTAATTACTGTAAAATCAAAGAAATTAAAATAGAAAAGCATACATAATTCTGCCACTTCGTTATGAAATTGAACAGGGTTCTTAACGGTAAGTACTATTTATTAGACTTCAAGGTCGACCCATTTACAGCGACATTATTCCATTCCACACTGGAGCTACACAACAGTACTAAACAGCATTTATTTGCAGAAACTTAGATAGGCACGAACAACACAAGCAAGCAAGCAGCATAACATTAATTTAGAGATTACTAATGGAGGAAGAAACTGGAACAAATATGAGATTATCTGGTTGGAAGAAATGGCAAACATGGGAGCTCCCTGGCTCGATCCCAAGCACACGAAACGACGCGTGATCGCGGCTCCACTTAGAGGTATCCATGTGGCAAACTGCAATAGCTTCCACTCTATCTCCATTGTCACCAACCAGTGAAACTCTGAATACCTTGTTCTCAGTCTCTTGGCTATGGCAGTAAAAAACTGCATAAGGGTAAGGCATGGTGTGACATGCTACCATCTTGGGAGCAAATATCTGGTCGGGGACTTCCAGGATAGTGTAATTTTGGAATTCAGTTGTCGATTTTGTGAGGCGTCTAGTGTTTACAAATTTAAATTCAGTCCCCGAACTGAAAGCACTTCGGGCGAAATCGAGCATGGATTCCAAGGATGTTGGACAGAATTTAATTTCTCCTTCAATGGGTTGGTTTTCGCATTGCTTGAGTGTATGTTCCATGGCTCTAGCTTGAGTTGAGTCTTTTGAAAAGGAGAAGTGTTTTAGAAGGAAAGCAAGCTCTTCCAGTGAAAATGGAATTGAATCAGCTTCTTCTCTAGGCAACAAATGAGGGAAAACATTTGAAAGCTCATTCACGCGGAAATAGATGGGCATAGTGATCCCTTTTTTGAGATCTTTCATGGTGAAGAACACCATAGATGAAGGATCCATGTGATCCATGTGGGATGACTGATGAGCATGAACATGATGATGGGCATCATGGTTAAGGCCTATTAATTCTTCCGACTGCGAGAGTATATCAGTCATCTCCTTGGCACCACTTCTGTAAGCACTCTGTGAAACAGTTTACCCATTCTCAGCATAAACTTGGATGAATTATCAACAATACAATTTCTAATATTTAAAAAAAAAAATTCAAGATTTTGAGTTTCATATCTTGTTAACAAGCCAATTCCATACAGTTTGAAGATTAATTACCATAAAAAGAAGAAGACACAGGAAGACGTTCCAAGCTGCAAATCCTGAACCCATCTTCATCCTATTCCTTGTTTTAGTTAACAAGTAAATCAGAAAGAGAAGAGATTGTATATATATATGGAACAAAGAACTGGATTGTTTCATGGAGTCAAGAAAAAAGTTACCTTCACGCTAATATCCATATATATTAGGTTGCTGTCGGCATTAATTTCACTATTGACAAATTAGAAAAGAAACATGTGCGAATGGATAATTAATGTAGGGACAAAGAAGAAGGTGTGAATGAGTTTAATATACGCTAGAATATATCATTTTCCAAAACCTTTAAAATTATTTATATATTAGATAGTGGTAGCTAGCATGGTTTGGTGTTCTTTATGATCTTTAATTTGCATTATTGATGTCTGCCACTTACAGTTTTTTACAGCCTCAATAATGAAGAGATCACCAAGTGCATGTTTCAATTAATGTTTACATGTTCTTTTATTGACCATATGGTATTTGAATCCATTTGGTATTTGAGCTGAGAAAACTTTCATGCAAATTCTGAAGGTAAAATCTCTACGTTATTTAATTCATTCATGGCTTGTTAGATGAGAGACTGAGAGAGAGAACATTAAGGTCATCACAAAGTATGATCCAAAGTTCTTTAACTGTAGCAATTTATTTATTTATTATTGAATTTGGGGCTTAGAAAGTTTGAATAGGGTTTAAATAACACCACTCATAATTAAAACAAGAAGTTTTGATGATTATCACAACCTTCCAATTAGGGTTTGATAATATTAGGATCCTTTTTTTTTTTTTTTTTTAGTAATTATGGTATTCAGACTAACTTGCGTACACCTCAACTAATTCACACAGTCTATTGAACATCCTACAAGTATAAAGGACTAGGTAAACCGCAATGTGGTAGGTGGCACCAAGGTTTTAACTTTAAACCCAGAAACTCAAGAAATTGAACAAACTTCCTTAATCGTCAGACCACTCCCTTGGGGTTAGGATCCGTAGTTCTATGTGCCCAATTGCAATCCCTCCATGAGAGAGCGCACGGCATCTTAATTTGTTCTACATATTTAAGTTTGTGGAAGGCCAAAATGTTTACTGTAATGAACTATATGATATACAAAAAGTACTATCCTATAACTAACCATGAAGATATTTTATTAACACCACATGATATATTTTACATCGCCATCATCAAGAGGTGGATGAACACTCGTTTAAAATGAAACTTCGTCTAAGGATCTTAAGAGTCTTTGTAAAACATTTATTTTCTTAAAGTCGAAATGGTAGAAGAATTCTTTTTGTTTTAATATGAATTTAGTCTCATATGCTTGCTTTCAACGTGCCCCTTGATTTCCATGACCTTAAGGAATAGGCAAGTTCCAATGTGGTGTTGAATATCTTAGATACCTAAAAAAAGAAAGAAAAAAACGTGCCCCTTGACAATGAACCAAGAAAAAAGTTAATAAAAGATCGACTAAGATTATAAAGTAAAGACCCATAATTAATGAATCAATCTTTCATTAAGGACATGGTAAGAATGAAATTAATATGCTAGAAAACAGAAGAATTAATTAACTATATATTCATCTCTCAAAAGATTCCCCATTAAACATAAAACAAAGTTCATAAATATAATATTTGAATAACAAAATATATAATAATATCAAGAAAAAATAAGTGGAAGCATGAGTTTCATATGCCTTCATAGCCCCGACCCTATTGCAGTAAGATACTCAGGGAAAAATAGAAATAAAAAAATAATTAACTCTTCATATAGGGTAAGTTGTCTCAGTCGATGATCTTCTTTACAAGATCATATATGGTCCATGGAGTTAAAATTATTGGATTTCAAATTAAATTAATTAACAAGCTTTTATATCATCTTTAAGACATGCTTAATTATTTTTACAGCTCTAATCACCAGCATGAAACAACATCAATAAAGATTAGACATCAATCTAATCTTACAAACTTTCTCTAACAACCCCGATGTGAAAGCTCACAATTGGTCAACTCTCAATTGGGTAAACAAGACCTATTGCAAACTGTCACGTCAAGGTTGTGAGAAAAAATTTGTGAGATTGAATTATAAATATAGCATTGCCGAAACAACATGCATGCATGAGATTCGAGATTTTTTTTCTATAAATAGTGAGAAAAATAAGGCTTCCATGCAAAATCATACAAGTTTTATCTAAAAGATGAAGATATTTCATCAACACCACATAATATATTTTACATCGCCATCATCATGAGGTGGATGAACACTCGTTTAAAATGAAATTTCGTCTAAGGATCTGAAGAATCTTCGTAAAACATTTATTTACTTAAAGTCGAAATGGTAGAAGAATTCTTTTTGTTTTAATATGAATTTATCTCATATGCTTGCTTTCAACGTGCCCCTTGACTTCCGTGACCCTGAGATATAGGCAAGCTCTAATGTGGGTCTGGACATCTCAAATAGACATCTCAAATACTTTAAAAAAAAAAAAAAAAAAAAACATGGCCCTTGACAATGAACCAAGAATTAAAGATGTAAAAGTTAATAAAAGATCAATCAAGATTATAAAGTAAAGACCCATAATTAATGAATCGATCTTTCATTAAGGAAATGGTAAGAATGAAATTAATATGCTAGAAAACAGAAGAAATAATTAACTACATATTCATCTCTCAAAAGATACCCCATTAAACATAAAACAAAGTTCCTACATATAATATTTGAATAATAAAATATATAATAATATCAAGAAAAAATAAGTGGAAGCATGAGTTTCATATGTCTTCATAGCCCCGACCCTATTGCAGTAAGATATTCAAGGAAAAGTAGAAATAAACAAATAATTAACTCTTCATATAGGGTAAGTTGTCTCAGTCGATGATCTTCTTTACAAGATCATATATGGTCCATGAAGTTGAAATTATTGGATTTCAAATTGAATTAATTAACATGCTTTCATATCATCTTTAACACGTGATTAATTATTTTTACAGCTCTAATCACTTGCATGAAACAACATCAATAAAGATTTGTCTAAAATAATTGGTCAGCTTTCAATTGGGGACA